AAGCACTAGGGTCAAGTCTAGACACAAACTTGAATATACCTTTGTACTACATGATAAAAAACACCCACTTCTAGCTTTTGGTGCTAATTCAATACTTTTTAAAGGCACTCAATTAATTTAAAACATAAGAAAAAAAAGAGACACTTTTAGTAAAGTGATTAGTTCAGACTCCAAGAGCAGACAAAAGAGAGTAGAGAGAAGAGTCTGGAGACTGTGGTATAAAATTACAGATAAGTACCAAATACACTCAGCAATTTCTTAGCAGAGAACGTAATAAGGATTTTAAACAGATGACATTTGCATTTCCAGTAGTCAGACTGACAGAACAGATGTGCTAAAACCCATTAAAAAAAGCCCAAATCTGAAAGCCTTGTCAAGGTTTGTTAGGGACACGATTTGCACGTCTGCAAAATGAGCTCAACAATGTGTCTCTCTGAGAAACAGAAGTGCATTTTGAGAAAGAAAATTAAACACATTCACATTGTAAAAAAGTGAGGGAGTTTATATAGTCTACTTCATAATTACCTGCATTTTGAAAGTGAGTAGAAAAAGGCATATAAAAATAGTAAATGGTTATTTTAAAATTACTCTTTTCATGGCCCTCCGATTCTACTTTCAGTAAATGTCAGGGAAGTAGGGAGCCTCGCTGAAGACAGCTGTCCCAAAAGGACTGTGTAACACCTTTGCTCAATCTGGACAATATCTCTAGTTTCCCAAGACATCAGGCAGTTGTCTGTAACTGCTGGGCAATTAGGTTTTCAGTTTGCACTTGAGTGAAAAATTTCCTTCCAAGTTTGTGATTTATTTTCCACTACACACATACTTTAGGTCCTTTACTGCCTTCTTCCAACTGCAGTAATTATGTATCTACCTATGCTGAAAAATCAAGGCTTGATTAGAACTAAAAGTAATTGAGGCTCAAAGGGGCTTTCAAGTAGGTCAAATTTTAATGGAAAAGGGAGAACCAGTGAAAAGAAACCCCAGAATCTTCTGCCTAACTGTGGCTTCTCTGCCGGCAGACCAAGTTTGCTGGCTTTCTGATGATACTGGAAAGCTCCAATGTTTCCAGTCTGAGGCATGAGACAGTCTCAAATGAACAGCAGCAGACACCTACAATTAATTTTATGCTCCTACCTCAGAACACAAACAAAAACAAACTGGGAGGCAAACCCAGCCTTTACTCAGAATTACGCTGTTGTCCAAAATAGAAAGGTATAGTATTTCAGTCTAGCTCTAAATTTCCCTATTTTTCTGTTTGTCTAGATTTTGGGTCCATGTATCTCTTATCAAGCAGCAGTAATAGGAGGCATAAATATAAACTTTGATGAACATCGGAATCACTTCACAAACCAAAAAGGTGAGAGAATGTAGTCTGGGCAACAAAAGCAAATTTGGAAAACACATTAAAAGTCTAAGGACTTTTTAATGAGTATATATTCACATTGCTGATTATTCAAGCAATTACAAAATATGACATTCAGATCTCAGGTTTCTTTAACTCAAATATATTCCAATTGTTTGCTTTTATCATGAAAAGTAAATTTCAGGGGATTAAGTTTCAGAACTTCAAGATAATTAAAGCTGTCTTGCTCTTTTTGCAACTACAAACATCACCTTTCAGAAATATAATCTATGCTGAATCTTGAAAGTTGAGATCACTTGAAAAACAACTCACATTTTGATATAATGACACCAAAAAGAAGACTTGCTGATAAAAGACTAAATTGGTCTCTGGATTAATTTCACTAAGTAGCAATTTCTAGAAGTCCTGTATTTAGTTGCAAACTCATGCAGGAATCAGTCTTGTGAATAGTGCCTGCAGACTACCATATTAGTCCCCAGAGATCATAGACCAGGGCACTAGTCCTTGCTTAGTCCCTACAGACTGTGTACACCCTCCACATTAATCAATACATCCTCACTTTATGCTGTTGCTCTCTAGAACAGTTTAAAAATAAATTCTCAAGAAACATATCTCTATCTATATATCTATATATTAGATTTCCAGAGATCAACTCCTCAACAGTGTTTTCCTGAATAGTCGAACTTACTGAAATTTCTGAGCAAAAAAAGTGCAAATAAGATAGAAGGGATTTCTAAAAAAAAGTATAAAAGAAGCCTTTTGTATTTCAGTTTTTCACAGTCTAATGGATTTGCCTTTCTTGCTTCATATTCTATGCATTTTGCTATTGATCTTCGTAATAGACCAAAAATGTTGTCAGGTGGCTGGGGAGAGTGGCTCTGAAATACAAAGAGTTGCATATCAAAAGCCAGCACTAGAACATCAGTACTAATTTTTAAAAAGTTAATTTCTATTGCTCATGCCTGCAGAGAGTCCTCAAAAAGAGGAAAAATGTGATATTTCTCTCTTCACAGACACAGAGTGTCAAGAATGCTCCATTCTTTTAAAAAAGTGAGTTTCAATATAGAGAGTGCTCTGACTGGAGTACTCCTGGAGATCTCTCTCTATAAGGTATTCTGTGCTCAGCAGGATATAAATAAATCCCCACTCTGAAGAAGATATCTCTGCAGTCACTCATGGCTCTCCAGAGGAAGGAAAAGCATTTTTTTCTTCTTGAAGAAAAAAAGTCCCAGAGAGTTTTGTTGGCCTGATTGAGCAAAAGATTCAGAAATCAGCTGGTATATCTTTGGGGTTCCAAAATTATTACATGGCTGTTTCTTTTCCTTTTTTCTTTCATTTTTACTTGACAGACAATTTTATGTGCTTACAAGTTTGAATGCAAGTTATTAAACACTTAACTGATAACCATTAGCATTCCTTGATTTTGTGGTTTTACTTCTGCTGCAGGTCAGCTGGTCAGCCTATATAATCCCTGCTTTAATAAAACTTTCACTGGAGTTATTATTAGAGCAGGTGTCACATTCTAGAGACAAAGGTGACATTTGGAATCTACTGGTAAGTCCTTGTACATTTTCTGTAGGAAGCTTCTAGATGATTTTATGGCCCCAGCAATGAGAAAGGAGATATAGGGGATTCTACTTTTGGTTTATTTTACCTTTTTGATAAATGGGAGGTAGAAATAATTCCTTTTGGCTATTAAAGTAGTTTAAACACATATTTAATTTTAGCTATTCTGGCTCTAGGCTCTGGAGTTGTCTGCAGCCATGTCAAGTTCTGGCAAATTTTGTGCGGAGATCTTTATGGGAATATCTACATGAGAATGTAATAGCTGGCTGCTGTCACAACAGTAAAGTCTACAAGCAAAGACTCTGTGCTCTTAAGCACAAAGAAAAAACCTCGCATTTCACAGATGAACACATGTTCAAATATCCAAAACATTTTCTCTACCTTGCCTGGCTTCTTTATCCTGCTGCCATATGGTACAAAGATTTTTCTTGCATCTGGAGACTGGAGTTTCTAACACGAACTACTAGATAATTTGGTATTTTCTTAATGAGGAGGATAAAGAAACTCTATTATTCTTTAAAATCAAGACATCAAACCAGTTTTATTCCTTCTTAAGTTCAGTACAAAAAATGCCCTGGAAAAAGACGTACGACATACATTACTGTTTGCTCAGTAACCAGCTGTTTAAAATTTGGGTATTAAGTAATTCACTCTTTGCTCTGTGCAAGAGCTGAATGATTTAATAAATCCCCATATGCCCCAACATGTGCCAGCTATACTGGGTTATCGAAAATAACCCAGTATGTTATGATAATAGCTGTTATGCTAATAGCTTCCAATGCTAAAACTATTGAAGAGAATAATGAATCCACTCCAAGTCAACTAAGACATAAACTAACACAGTTCCACTTAAGATATGTGGGAATACAATACATCTGTTAATTAAAAACTAACACTGATCTACAGTCACATGAAATTTGGTGCCAAGAATTCATGGGCATTGCTTGTGATGGAAAATTAATGCAAATCAACCTGTATGAAGACAAGCAGCCCCATTTCCATCACTTGTCCTAAATGCATAGGAATGTCCTACAAATTACACATTCAGTTTGCAAAACAGATTCTATTGTGTCACAGTTGGCTTTCCTTCCTACATATTATAATTCCCATGCAGCTATTAGATGACATGTTTTACATAGCTAGACTTTTCAACTTTTCAATTATCACAAAAAACTGATTATGAGGATTATTATGAAAATTTGATTGGTTTGATGTACTAATATTTTAATGCAAGGTAAGAGTCAAAGGTACAATGTCACTGTCTTTAGTCATTGAACAAGCACACAAGCAAAGGAAGCAGAAAGAGAGAAAGTAGCCAAACAAGTGTCAGAAATTATCCTCCAGACACATGTTTTTTGGACAATCAGTGCAGAAATATCCAACAAAATATGTCACTATTAACTTTTTAAAAATACTTCCTTGGATATGAAATTATTACTTATAGTTACAAAAGCTTTGCAGGTAGATGTGACTTTCATCTTGGTGTCAGTATAAGCAATACATTAATGATACATTCTTTCACTTCTCACAATTAGCTCTGTTGTTAAGGGAAATTAACCTAGAACTCATCAGTCTCCTAAGCAAGATTACAGTGTTACTGTGTTGATGTAAAATTGCATAAGATATAGGACATAAAATACTTATTAGAACAAACAAAAACAAAAGCAAGCCATTTACATTTGCTGGAGCTGGATCATCTCCAATACACCAAGTGTGCAATGCTCAAAAGCCACATTAAAGACAACTGCAGTAACTCCAACTTCAAGCAATCTATATATAGTAGTTTATGTATAAAAATAATTTAAGAATGCATTTTTTAAAAAAAGATTAGGAATATATTGACAAATTAAAAGCATGTCATGCAGAGATTTAAGATGCTTATAAAAGCTCAAGCATAGGGGCTAACCACATCAAGGGGATTATAGAAAACTCAAAGACTTTGAAAGCTTAAAGGATCTCATTTTTTTCATACCTTAATTATGAAGTTGCAAATAATTTTGTTTTCAGACACATGTTCTTGACATTGCAACAAACCCAACACTGTCATTTTCTCAATTATTAGTAGACTTACTTTTCTTTAAGGAAATCCACTACTTGTTTGAAGTCTGCCACACAGTATTCTCTTTTCATGTCCATGAGCACACTGTCAGAGGCTGACTGGACTGGTATGTGCAGAAAAGCATATACTCTTGGATGACTGAGAATCTTGGCCATTTCCTATGAGTTATTAAACAAAAAAGAAGCTTTAAAGCATTATGAAAATAACACAGAAAACTCAGATTAATATATGGGGTAAGTACCAGCAATACTTCTAAAACCCAAATAACACTAAATTGCCCCAGCCCAGTTTGATACAGTGGGGACAGGTGAAAATATCTGGAGGCAATTTTCTTAGGAGAAAATAAGAAGAAGGCAATGAAATTGAATTTCCTTTGAGATAGGGATCATATTCCCCGTGTAGTATTGATTACACAATTACAAGAAAATTTTACAGGCAAAGTATTATGAAGATTGGTGATTTCAGACAGTGCTGTTTTCAGAAGATGGGCTGCTTTCTTGTTGGAATGAAGTAACTTCTCAGATATCAAAATGAGAATGTCTATACTTGGAGCATCCTTAAAGTTTGCTAGTTGCTAATTAAGGTACCACTCATCACTTGCAAACATGCTCCAATACTGGTCTGAAATGTTACCTGTGTTACTTCAGAGAAAAGGACTGAAATTAAAAGTGCTTGGCTATAATATGAATAGAATTAATCAAGGGGCAGCTTAAAACTGGAGTGACAGCTTGGAAAGAGACAGAGGATGTGATACATTTTATATAAATGCAAAAAGTCATAGAAAAAAAAAAAAGTAAAGGTAATAGCAAAATGCAAAACCAAACCTCCTAATGAAAGCCAAGCTAACCCCCCAACAGAGGCTTGGCAAGGTGAAGGAATGTGAGACAGAGAATAGAATATGGTGGTGGTCCAATTTCTCTCATTTTTATTATCTAACCAATTAAGGACATAAAGTCAAGCAACAAAGTTTAAGTATTCTGTAAAGTTGAAACCAACCAGCATTGAGACTGCGTGCAATATGGTACCATACTGCTTGTTAATCTTTGTCCTGCAACAAATAAGTGAACTTGGACAAAGAACCATATTCCATGAACAACCAGGTCTTCACATATGGTTTTCCCTTTCTCCCTGAGCTGTGGCCATTCAGGAAATGGCCTGGGACTGAGCACTGCTCTTCTGCCAGTGCATTCTATGTGCTCCAGCCAGGCTCACTCAGGCCATCTCTCCTGTTTTTTCTGATGGCACAGATACTCTGTCTGACAACACATACTGCGGCCATATTTACATTTTAAGATGCAACTATTTACAAATTCTTCCAGACCATTGATCAGCAATATTAGTTACACATCTAGATTTTCTCTCTGTATTTCTACAAGGCTGGCCTAGATTGTTCAAAGAGAAGGCAGACATGCTCCTGCCTTTTCATTTGCAGGAACTCAGCTTTTAAAAGCACTGATTTCTAGAACAAGAAGAGAAAATGTTCTCTTGATACTCACTTTTCATCTGACAAACAGATGTGTACCAAACCTGAAACTCTATCAAATCGCTTCTGGAAGCAGTCTTGAAACTTTCTAAGATCCTATTACATAAATGTCTAAACTAAGAGAAGTGGTTACATTATTCAAGGCAACAGCTATTCCATCTCAGGTATGTAAACTCCATTTGATACACACAATTGAACACAATTTGATACACAGAAAGGCTGTGCGCACTGAACCTGGCTCTCAGTGGAAGCTGGAGATAGCTTGTTTCATGAAAAACAGTGAAGAAAAGGCCACCAAACATCCACACAAATTTTGTATCCAATTCAAATGGAACTATACATATCCGTGCCCTTAACAATTGAAGATGTTCAGCTAAATATATTTTCAAAAATGAAATAGCATGGAACATGTACATAAAACCTTATTTTTTTTAAGCTTTAGAGATCTTGCGAATGTAATTTATATTAAGCATCCTTGTAGTCATCTGTGGTTTTTCTATTTATCAGTAATCAAATATGTTTCTAAAATATGGGAAATAAGAGCTGAAAATTAAGCTATGGATCACAAGTCTATTATTCTGCTTATCTCTTGGTTCCAAGTACTTTATTCAATTTTCAAAAACATATTTATGATATAAAGAACCAATGAAAGTCATGTTTCATAACATGTTTCTAAATCTGCCAAGTTCTTAAAAATAACTCACCCTATGATATAGGTAAAACAATTCTTTGCCACTCCACTCAAACTTTGCATCTTCTGAATAACAGACACTTCAACATGAGATCAGTTTGTGAGTTCTTTTTAAAAATAATAAATAGTTTATTAGAATTTCTAGATACAAAACTGTTATTTTATTCCAGCTTTTGTAAAGCTGAGAATCATTTGATAGAACAAAAATCCAAACAGATTCACTGTGTCTGTTTGCGATAGAAATATTAGATTTTAAAAAACCTTACCTTGTTTTACCACAAAGTTTTGATTTTGAAGTCACAAATGTGGAAAATCTCTAGTTATATGGAAATGTTTATTTCATTTCTCATATTCACCTTAAACAATGAAAATGTTATGGTGAAGTATGAAAATGAAAACCAAACTCTTAAATCCAAAAGGTACTTTCTTACTCAGAGGATTCAGAAAAACCAAAGCACCCAACCAACCCCAAAGCCACTAGCTGCTGATCTGACAGTAACATGCAGAATCCTGCTGGTCTCATAGTTGATCTCTTTGAGGGCAATGTGGCCAAGAGAGAGCTTTGCACTGCACTTCCTGTAAGAAGAACTAAAGCAATGGTGTCCAACAGCCACTGTTAAACAAGACTAATCAGAATTGCTACTTCCAGTTATCCCCCATGTAAAAGAAAGAAAACATATGTTTTCTGCGATCACTGTTGTCAATAACTTTCAAGATTAAGAACACAACTGTTGTCATTTAAAGTAATTACCCTTGGTTTGTACCAAAGGGATGCAAAATGCCTGGCATTAATTAACTGAACTTTTTCAACTATCACTACAGGTCCCTGCATACAGTAAAAGCTACAGCTGTAAGCTCAAACGCATTATCAACTATTCCACTGCATCATTTTGGTTCAGAAAGATACTCCGTATCAAAAGAACTGGCATTCTGTAGAAAGTAAATTGCTTGTCATGTGTATCAGGAATTCACATACAATACACACACGGTCTGTCTGGGAACACTAACACAGCCTAGCTGCTGTGGTCACGGGATTCAGGAATGTTCTGGACAGTCAAAGCTCCTTCTAGAGATGAGGAGGTTGCAAACAGCTCTTTATACTATGAACTCCTTTCTTTGCTTGCTTTCTGTATCGAAAGCTATATAAAATTCACTGCACGTGCTTAGAATCAAAGGTCCTCCTGATAAACTGATTTCCCATCAGGTACTTGAGGATTTTAACGATTAACTTTGTGAATTTAGCACAACACAAATTACTAACACACCAAATGCAAGTCAGAAATACCTGATGACCCACTGTTTCATTGTCATTCCCTTTTAAGTACTGCTGGTGGTCTTAAATTTACCTTTTATAACCAGAAATTCTGAATGAGCTGTTTAGAAGGAAACAGAATAATCAATTAAACAAAAGCTTTGGATGATTGCATCAGAAATCTGGATAAATCAATCTTCCAAACTTTGCACTGTTCAGATAGAAATATCACATTCTAACCTGCAGCTTTAAGGTAAGACTGTTCCAGTCTTATCTTTCATCCTCCCTACCACCAAAATACCACTGAAGTTCTTTGCTACATAGGTTTGATTAAATTACAACTACTCTGCGCTTAACAGTCATATTTAGTCAATGCTGACAGATTTTCCTCTACTACAGATTGCACAAAGAATACCAGATTTCATCACTGAATGAAACCATTAGTTAGTATCCCAAAGAGTATTTGAAGGACATCATAGGATAATGCATATTTTTACTTCATCATCTCTCAACATTCTAAGCTTAACATCTGTTTCCTGTTGCTTTTTTTATAATTTTTTTTTTTTTTTCTGAAGTGCTCTGCATTACTAGGTATAATTACCCATTTCAGTTAGAAGAAAAACAATCTAGAATTTTATTTCCAGCTGGAAACAATAAATGAACAACATTCTGAAACTATATCACTGCGAAAGAAACTTTCTTTCATCACGACTCAAACAGCTGATTGCCTTTTCTCACTATTCCCTGGAATCTGATATGTGTCTATGAATGAAGGGATGTACTACACAAAAATGAAATATCATGTAGGAACAAAAAGGTCAAAAAGTAGCACAATTTGTTTTAACCCGCTACTACAAAAATAGGTGTCATCTACATTTGGAAAATAACATTGTATGTGAAACATCCTTTAGGATACTGATCACATATGAAATATTTTTTCCCAGTCCTTAGCAGCTGGAATACATTAGAATACAAAGCACATTACCAAAAAGATTTCTATCTAGTCAATGTATTTTATCCTAGCAATTACAATACACAAATTTAACCATCCAACCAGAAAATCACAACTCCTGTTTGCAATGACACCACATGCAACCATAGAAAATTGCAGAGACAATAAACATCAATATCTGTGCATCTTTATGTCAGTCCCAGCAAGCTGTTCGGACAGCAATTCTTTCCCCTTACCTAAAGCAGGCAAAAATCCAAGTATTTGAATTCTGTCTTGTATTTGAGTCACAACAATGTGAATAGCTTGCTTGCTAGCAAAAGGATTTTGTCCTCTGCCGGCAGAGAAGCCCAAAGAAATCCTCATCCATATGGAAACATGACAAAATGGCACTCCCTCAAAACTTCACCCCTTTGTGGCAGATACTACTTTGGGGTATGTCACAAGGGGTGTCTGCTGACTGTTGTCTTTCAGAAGCTGAGAGGTGCTACCACCAGCACAGTCTGCATGAAAAGTGACTGTGGCCCATTTTATAAATTCCTCTGCTGCAGTTCAGCTCAGGAACAGGTATGATCTTGTGATGCAGGCATGGCAATGATGACACAGTTATGATCCAGTCTGGAAAACCCAGAGCAGTTTTGTTAAAATGAATGAACAGGGAACTCTCCCTGCACTTCCCACCACCTGTGAGTAATGGGGCTTTAAAAAACTAAGAACATGTGGGATGTCCCTGAGGACACTGGTTGGAAGGCAATGCCTCTCCCCCATCTGTGTATGAACCGA